TATAGATACACAGGTACATACACATATAGAGCACAACGTAGTCAGGCAGGCCGGGTCGATAACTGTTGGGCAGGTATGGTACAGGAGGAGCAGACGAGAAAATGGTCAGGGTCACAAGCCAGGGATCAAACGGGAGAAGTCAGCAGAGGTCAGGATCAGGCAGGGTCAGCAACAAGTCAGGCAGAAACAGGAACAGGAATGCAGGTTACAAGATACAGGGGCCCATGGAAAAACACACACCAAGGCCCTGACTGTGAGTCTGGCCATTCCTTAAATACAACCCCTGCAATCAGCTTCAGGTGTTTTGGCTGACTGCAGGGGTGAGTCTCTGATTGCTGAGAGCACCCGCTGGCCAGCCCTGGTACTGCAGCCCACAAGGCAGGTGAGTCCCACTGTTATTGGCAAGTCCATTCCTGACAACTGCCAATCAAATTCCATCTTCCAAAGCAGGTAAAATTTTTGTTTGTTAGCTTGGGGGAACTTTCTCAGATGGCCCGATTCCTGACAAGAGAGGTTAGGGTGCTTATTGGTTAACATCAGATTCTGGATGGCAAACCAAGGTCCCAACAGGTGTGTTGTGACCCCCATATGCATTTCAAGACATTTTGACTGGAATACACTTTTTTATTTTGTTTATACTCCAGAGGAGTGCAGTAATGACTTTCAGTAATAGGACTCTTTTCTTCTTTAAAACACACAACCAAGTTTGAGGACCATCAGTAGCCAAAATATGGACATATTGCTTTCCTTCTTAGGTTTGCACAGTCAATGCTTTGTACAGTGAAATTTTGTTTTCTGCACTATATAATTACTGGATTACCGCCAGGTTAAGGTGCCTCAATTAGAACCAGTATTTACTGTTCTCCATTGAAATTATTATCGCATCGCTTCACTGTAGAACCATCTGTACCATTCATATCACAAAATAGGTTTATTCCTTCCAACGTCATCTATGTTATCTCTCTTTACAATGCCGCTGTCCTGATTGTCAACTTTATTAGTGACCTAAACAGACAGGGATATGTTGTTTGGTACAAAGCATTTCCTGATAAATATGACATAACAGAGGTTTTCTCTTGTTATGTCCTCAAAGTTGGGACAGTCATAAAAAGGTGCATGGCAGAAGGCAAGAGCTAACCGTGTTTACAGTAGCCAAGCAATGCTTCTTTAGAATATTGCTCAGGAAAATATCGATGTTGCCTAGGTGATGAAATTAATGTGTTGACTTTGTTTCAGTCTAGAAAAGCAGATTTTATCTGAACCTGTCTAATGGTTGCTTGGCAGTATTATATTTAAAGGGGAGGCATACCTTGCAAAGAGGCAGCAATACTTCCTTGGGTGAATTGGTGCCCAAGTGGGTAACATTGTTGCCTTGCTTTTCTAGAGTTCTGCATTCGTTTAAAGCAAACATTTTGTGTTCAAATTCTAATTAATGTCTTTGGGCAACCCTGCTTTACTGATTTTCTCATTGAAAAGAGGTGTAACGTCCCTCCTGGCTGGAGCAGTGGAGAAAACACCTCCAACACAGGGAATGGACTAGCATTACCCTAGGGTGGATCCATGGCTACAAGGAAGATGGTCATGACAATGATGGGTGCCGATCATATTAGTCTTTTCAAAGTTTTATTGCTCCATCTCACATGGAGATAGGGTTAAAGTATACGTCTCCTCCAGCACCATATTTTCCTGACTCCATTACACTTTTTCTCCCATCCAAGGGAGTGCCAGGATCCTCTAAGGGTGGACACCAATCCTCCTCCAGCAGATCTTCCATCTCCTGGCTCTACCACCTTGGGTGCTGTACCCTCTTGGACCAGGCAGGACAGCTTAAGGATTCTGAGTTAGGCCCCAGCCAGACTCTGGCCTTCTCAGCACAAACTATTGCACAATCCCCAGGTCACAGCCTGGGGGAGGAAGAGAGCTCACCAGGCCACTTTCCAAACATATACTGTACACTATATTGGGATGCCTGCCTACACGCACATGAACTTTAATGGCATCCCAGTCTTAGTCCGAGGGTCCAATATTGAGTTGGCCCACCCTTTGCAGCTGTAACAGCTTCAACTCTTCTGGGAAGGCTATCCACAAGGTTTAGGAGTGTGTCTATGGGAATGATTGTCCATTCTTCCAGAAGCAAATTTGTAAGGTCAGGCACTGATGTCAGACAAGAAGACCTGGCTCGCAGTCTCCGCTCTAATTCATCTCAAAGGTGTTCTATCAGGTTGAGATCAGGACTCTGTGAAGGCCAGTCAAGTTCCTCCACACCAAACTCGCTCATCCCTGTCTTTACGGAACTTGCTTTATGCTCTGGTGGGCACTCATGTTGGAACAAGAAGGGGCCATCCCCAAACTCTTCCCACAAAGTTGGGAGCATGAAATTGTCCAAAATGTCTTGGTATGCTGACTCCTAATAGTTTACTTCACTGGAACTAAGGAACCAAGCCCAGCCCCTGTAAAACAACCCCACACCATAATTCCCCCTCCACCAAACTTTGGCACAATGCAGTCAGGCAAGTACCATTATTCTGGCAACCGCCGAACCCAGTCATGTCCATCAGATTGTCAGACAGAGAAGCGTGATTTGTCACTCTAGAGAACACGTTTCCACTGCTCTAGAGTCCAGTGATGGTTTGCTTTACATCACTGCATACAACTCTTTGCATTGCACTTGGTGATGTAAGGCTTTGATGCAGCTGTTGTTGTGCTAATCTGAAGGCCACATGAAGTTTGGAGGTCTTTAGCTATTGACTCTGCAGACAGTTGGTGAATTCTGCGCACTGTGCGCTTCAGCATGCGCTGACCCTGCTCTGTCATTTTACGTGGCCTACCACTTCATGGCTGAGTTGCTGTTGTTCCCAGTTACTTCCACTTTGTTATAATGCTACTAACAGTTGGGTGTGGAATATTTAGTAGCAAGTAAATTTCACGGATGGACTTATTGCACAGGTGACAACCTATCACAGTACCACACTTGAGTTCACTGAGCTCCTGAGAGCGACCCATTCTTTCACAAATGTTTGTAGAAGCAGTCTGCTTGCCTAGGGGCTTGCCTTTATACACCTGTGGCCATGGAGGAGATTGGAACACCTGAATCCAATGATTTGGACAGGTGCCCAATACTCTTGGCAATATAGTGTATATGCTTCTCCAGCATGCACCACTGACCATGAACCTGCCAGTGTTTGCCAGAGGGACACTTATATGATGATTGGCTCAATATTGTTACCGCCCCCATGACTATTGCTCTGGGTGCCAGAGACACCTAGTAGCAGTAGTAGGGAACAGCAGCCTCAAGCTAGGGGAAAAATCCAACTGAAAGACTATAAATTAGCCCAGACAAACTACTACCCAGAAAAACTGAATTTATGGCAACAAGGTGGCTACAGAGGATAAAGTGGGAATGCAGAATAAGTAAAAAAAAATAAGTTATGAAATCATTATAAAAAAGTGCAAATAGTACATTGTGCACACCCTTAGTTCATTTGGTGTGTAAAGTTGGAGAAAACTGAAAAAAAATTAGTGCATGGAAGCCACCTTTAGGTGCTCACTAATGTGAGTGGAACCATTGATTTTATCTATATTAAAGTTGCTTCCATATAATGCACTTTTGCAGTCTTTGATGTTCCTTCGCCAAAGTATTTTTAAAAACTTCTGCTTGCTAAATTCTGGATTACTATTACCCTTGGTAACTATGATAGACATGTTCTTTATACAATCTGTAAATGAAATACAGTCAGTCCCCTACAAAGTACATTCAAGTTGGATTTTGGAATCTGTCCTCGCTCTCACTAATCTTCACTGTGTGACCTGCTAGGAGACATGAATCCACCACTGCCATGTTTCTTAGTCAGGCATCTTCAATTCGTAATAATATTATTAAAAAAGATCTTTATCCTAAATTTTATTATGGGCATTTTATTAAAATATGTGCTTGTAATTCTACCTTTTTATTGAACTTGTGTTTTTAAATCAGTCCTGAAGAAGGTGGGCACATGTTTTTGAAATGCTTTAGCTTCCCACCTCAGTCATCAGTATGTATTTTTGATGGGTACAGTGGTTGGTGTCAGAGGCGGACTGACAACTCATGGGGCCCCCGGACAATTGGGGATCATGGGGCCCCTGTGTCCTTGCCCAAACTCAAAAAAGCCTATGAAAAAGGTACCAGGGGCATCTCATGGGGCCCCCTACTGACCCCGGGCCCTCCGGCAATGTCCAAATGGTCAGTCCACCCCTGGTTGGTGTCCTCTCATTTTCTCCTCTCACCTCCTCTCCTGGTTCCAGGATCACTCAGGACATTGTAGTTTTGCTTATCTAAGGTTTTTCTACTTGAGACTCTAACCGTTCAACTTTCTGCCCAAAGCAACCCATAAAAATGTTTTGGCTGAAATTCCACTTTCATGAAATATTTCTAAAAAAATGAATAATAATAATACATGGGAAGCATCTGTTTTTCAGTGCTTCTCAAAATTGCAGTTTTATTATTTAGAGGCATAAAGGTCGTTGTTCAGCACGCTTTTAAAAAGGGTTCCTGGATCGCTCAGGACCTTGTAGTTTTGCTCATCTAAGATTTTCCTACCCGAGATTCTAACCGTTCAACTTTCTGCCCAAAACTACCCAAAAAAGATTTTGGATAGAATTCCACTTTCATGAAATTTTTCTAAAAAAAAAAATAATACATGGGAAGCATCTGTGTTCAGTGCTTCACAAAAACTGAAGTTTTATTATTTAGAGGCATAAAGGTCAGCATTCAGCACGCTTTTAAAAAGTATTCCAAATGTCAGATGTCTCTTGATTGTTTTACTGGCATAAAAGGCATTAGGCAATAGGAATATCATTTAGGAAATGTCTGAAATTCCTAAAACTGGATGCCATGAGGTTGAAAAACACATAATTGACAGATGCAGAATAATCCGCAATGACCTCTCATAATGTCAGGAGAGTAATGGGAAGGTTGGCGTTATCATGGCAGGGGGTTTCCAGTCTTATCTCTCTCAGAAACTGGGTAGCCTCCCTGGCGGTATTCCCGAGTGTAGCTCGGGGTAAAGGTTCTGTACCACAAGCGGTAACCCCGAGCTACATTCGGCTTACCATGCGGCGCTGCTCCGGGATATGTTCTTCTCTTACCTTGTCCTGCGCTCCCGCCATGTCTCTCCTGCAGTGTCCCCGGCAATGTCCTCCGGCCAATGCCGGCATCTGTCTTCTGGGTTCTGTCCCCTGCGAGTGTCGGGACATACGGGGATGGAACGGCGGGAAATTTGAAAATGACAAAAAGTGAGATTCACTAAAATCACATAGTAAAACATTACTGTACCAAACCATTTCGCATACATTTTGTCCCGAGTGCTTTGTCCGGCGCCCTGCTTGCATTTTTACTGTTCTTTCTGCCTGAAAACTGAGAAACGTCCATGGTGTCAAAAAAGCGTCCCTTTAGGTCAAAAGCGGTTTTAGACCGGCTAGAGAACACAGCGATAGTAAATCAGAACCACTTGCAGAATTGAAGGATAATGATTCGTGGGGAAATTCATCATCAGACACTGAAAACGATTTTGCAACTTTGCTCAGTGATGTGCAAACTTGGCGCTATATTTCAAATTTCAGTGTTTTTGGTTTGATTATATTATTGAATTAAATGTAATATTAAAATATTATTTTTTTATGATTATTTATTAAATTATAATTTATGATTTCATGTTTCAAATTGTAACATACCCGGGATGTTTACTAGACTCTTGTTCGGACAGATTTCAGTGAGTTATTCCTAAAAATTACAGGCCTACAATAAAAAGAACGACATATTTCCATGCAAAAAAATGTACTGCTTTGAGCACAGAAATATGGACATAATCAGACCGCTATGGAGGTTAAAGTGGTTGTAAGTCTAAGACCGGAAATATGAAGAAAGCATATCCATTTATAGCAGTGGTTCTCAACCTGGGGGTCGAACGACCATTTCACAGGGGTCTAAGACCATCGGAAAACACATATTTCCGATGGTCAGACACCGCTCCTGTTTCAGGTGATCTGTGGGCGGGATGATATGCTGCCCCTGTAAACACCTCATCACTCAAATAGCTTCCTCGCCGCTAATTGGCCAAACTGTAGCTCAGGAGAGGCATACAGGCGGCCAATCACCGGCGATTTCCGCGGAGATTCGAGGGAGCTGCAGGAGCGAGTGAAGAGAGAGGCCAGAGAAGGAAGACAGCTGACAGGTAAGTGCAAATTTTGCTGCTGAGCAGGTATGCAGGCTGTAGATGGGAGAGGGAGAGAGCAAGCCCAGGCTGGAGCAGGAGTCAGCAAGGTAAGTAGCATTGGTGTCAGTGGAAGGGATAGTGCCCCATCATTTGTGTCACTAATACAACGATGGGGTACTTTCCTCCCCCCACTGACACCAACGATGGGGCACTATTCCTCCCCCCACTGACACCAACGATGGGGCACTATTCCTCCCACTGACACCCACAATGGGGCACTATTCCTCCCACTGACACCAATGATGGGGCACTATTCCTCCCACTGACACCAATGATGGGGCACTATTCCTTTAAGACACCAATGATGGGGCACTATTCCTCCCACTGAATGGGACACTATTCATCCCACTGACATCAGTGATGGGGCGCTAGTCCTCCCACTGCAAAATTACAGTTATGAAGTAGCAACGAAAATAATTTTATGGTTTCACCACAACATGAGTTATAAGGGGTCGCGGCATTAGAAAGGTTGAGAACCACTGATTTATAGTGTGTACTTGTCTCGGTCCAGAGCACTAAGTTAATTTCTGTCAACTTCAGGGTGGATTTGATTTAAATCACGATTTAAATCACTAGTCAGTAAGGCTTGATTTAAATCCTAGTTTTCTACATAAAGACTAATTCTTGCTGGTATAACTTTAATATGCAAGTAGATGAAGATTTTTAGAATAACTTTTCATATTAGTTTTTTATCCCCAGTTTAATAGGTTAATCATTCATATTTGGACAACTTTTCTGTTGTATTTAGGAAGGAGAAAAATAATCATTACCTTTACAATAACAATTTAAATAGATTTATTCAACTGAAACAATAACATTCCAGCATATGTGATTTGCTTAAAAATCCATGTTTGTTAACTAATTTGGCTAAACAAAAAAATATATATTTTTAAGAAACTTAGACTGTCAGCCCCTTCCTCCTCACACTTAGTTTCACTTTCTTCTTGTGCAGATCTATTCCACTCCAAACAATCAGAAAAATATTGTTTCTATTCTATTCACTGAACTTCTTGAAACTTAGCACTGAAGGGGTTGATTCTGTATTCATAGGTTTGTAGAAGTTAGGATGACGGTCTTTTTCTGAACTCTGTTCATGTTATAACATTTTTGCTGTGAAGAAAGAGGCATGTGATCTCCGCTGAGTCAAATTCAGTTTTGAGAACTGCAAAAGTAAACCAAGCATCTGTGATAATATCTTGTAGGCAGAGAAACTGCCCAATAATCTTACAAAAACCTCTGGAAGAGCATGACATTGTGAATGGATTCATGGAATTTATTTACCAAAAAAATTAAACATATACAGCCTTATTCTACATAATTAAAAAACTAATCTTTATTTCATGATGGAATAACCTTTGGATGGTAATATATTTTCCTCAAAAAGCATTTTATTTAAAAAAAATCTGATTTTAAATCAAAAAAATCTGATTTAAATAAAAAAAATCCAAATTAAATAAAAAAAATCAGAATTTTTTTGATTTTTTAAAAAAAAAAATCATTGATTTTTATCCACCCTGGTCAACTGCCTCATTTCTCTGCTATCTGTATGATTCACTTCTATCACGTTTTCCTGATGCCAAGAGAAAAATGGAGACAGGCAAGGGCACAGCCTTTGATTGACAGCCTCAGCTCTGTTCATGTGTGCTACGTTAGGGGGGGGGTGTCCCTTCCCTCCAATCGGCTCTCAGAGCTCTTCTTGCTGATGTAATGTCGGCTCACCGACCCCCTGCTTTTCAGAGCTGAGAGATCCTGTGCAAAGTTAGCGTTTCGAATGGATGTAGGGACAGATGGCCATAGATAAACAGGTACAACTTATGTAGGAGGATTTGTTTTTCTCTGTGTATCACCTGAGGCCACCAGTCACTTCACTGGGTATACTGTATGTAAGGGCTTACAACCACTTTAAGTGAAAAGCAATGTGTTTAATTATATAATCAGTTAAACTGGTATTAAATGCTGCTTTTTTTTGGGGGGGGGTATGCTGTTGGGTGGTTTGCCGTGATGTGCCAGTGTGCACCGCATATTAGCACATTATGGCAGGTTTATGCATCAAACAAAGCCCCCAGTGCTGTGCTGTTACTGCTCTAGCTGGTCCTGGGTTCTTCCATCTGTGGGTGGACTTCACCCTCCAGTTCCTTGAATTGCCAGGCCATGACGTCCATCCTGCGCATGCACACAGGAGTCACTTCACCACGCCACAGAGTGGGTGCTTTAAATATGGGCTGAGCTGCATATGCACTGATCAGACTGCATTTCTGCTGACAGGCAAGGAGAAGCATTTACTGCTATTAATAAATAAAAATGATTTCTATAAATTAATAGAATCAGTTATTAATAAATATAGTAAATGTGCTAATTGAATATCTAGCTTTTTTTTTTTAGGTGTCATCTTGACTGTAACTCAGGGGTGCTCAACCTTTTGAAGAGCAAGGGCCACTTAGGTGATTTGGTAAGCGGTCACAAGCCACAATGAAATGAAATGGTTCAAAATTTAGAATTTTTTATTTTGAATAACATAATGAGCATTCCTCCTGCAGCCGTTGAATGGCAGCAGGAGGGAGAGGAGGAGAAGCCGGCTTTCAGCAGTTGCAGCTTTTAGTGGTTCCTATATATGTCACCCCCTCCGACCCTCCTGTCCAAGTGTAAAACAGAATGTGACAGGGAGGCCGCACGGGCCCCCTGGAGCATGGGGCGGGGTCACAATTGCCACCCCTGACGCAACCCTAGTGATTGGGGATATTGTAAAAAACATTTCACCTAAGGGGTTTTACCACCCCCCCAAACTGGAAATGTAAACAAGCTCTTACTGTCCTGGGCCCCCATATAAGGCTGCTTTCACACTGATGCGTTGCTGTTTACCCGCACCATGTTAGCTGCATTTTGGCATAGACTTCTGTTATATCTTGCGAGTGTGGTGCACCAAAATAGCAGGATATAATAGAAGTGCACTTCCCTGGCTTGAGGTTGAGGGCCACATCAGAGGGCTCCGAGGGCCACGTGTGGCTCACGGGCCACAGATCGAGCACCCCTGCTTTAAGGGATCCATTCAGCCAGGGCAGGTGCCTAGACTATTTTGCACTTCAGGCAAGACCAGCTACTTGCACCCCCCCCCCCCAAAAAAAAAATAAATAAAAATGGCATTTTGTAAAAACAGTAGAAAATATTAAATCAACAAAGCATTTTTTAATTTGAAAAAATAAGTGCCATAAAATTCCACCAGCACAAATATCAAAGGCAAAAATCAGTGTCACGGACAGACTGTATCTGTGGCTGACAGTGGCAGGGTGACAGTTGCAGTGAGTGGAGGATGATGGATCCACACTCTGACAGGCTGGAATTCCCCGGGCAATGGGGGGAAGAACATGCTGTGACAGCAGGCAGCTGAACTGAGCGATCCCACACAGTGACACACATGACACAACACACCAACACTGACACAGATCAGCAGGCACTAGAAGAACAGGCTGTGGGATTGTGATGGAAGTCATCACTCACTGACACATTGCATATGTGATGCAGAATGGCCGGATGGGTCACACTCACACAAACATGAGACATCAGAGTCGGACATTACCTTCTTCCGCAGGCACAGCTCCACCTCTACTGATTAATGGGAAAAGAAGGGCTGAAACTCCACAGTGATCATCTGCCGCCAGCCGGCTTGCAGTAAGAGACTGAGTCTAAGAGGAACACTGGAAGGAGCTGCAGCTCAGCTGCTACACTGGCCCCAGACACCCGACATCTTCCTCTGTCCTTTCTTTCTCCCCTCCGCCACCCCTCCTCTCAGCTGAAGGATCATTCATGATGTGGCGGCGTCCCACATAGAGAGAGTGATGACCTGTGCTGCTCCCAGGCGCCCCTAGGTGGTAGTGAGCTCTAGGCAGCCACCTAATTTGCCTAGTGGAACCATGGGCCCTGGTTGCAGTTACAAATGTGCAGCAACACTGCTGCGTTCCCACGGCTTATTTATTATGCATTGGCTCCAAAGCAGGAGGAATTAGCCACGCTCTATTTTGTTGCACCACAAATCGTGGGCAGTGGTACACTGTAGCACAGATGTTGTCAGGAATGGACTTGCC